CTTTAATACAAAGCAAACTCAATTTTATCCTTTGAGCCACCAGCTGTCTCTTCACTTTTATAAACAACAATGTATGGCTATACCACAAGTCATCTATATATGGTTTGGGTTAGTTCCATATTTTTGCTACATAAATAGTGCTGCAATGAACATCACTGAACTTATTTCCTGATATACTTGTGCAAAAGTGTATCCAGGGAATGCACCGAGGAGAGGAACTGCTGATCAAGGGCATATGAATGTCCAGCTTTAAGAGACAATGTACATTGTTTTCCAAAGTGGTTGAAGTGATTTATACTCCTATCTCCAATAAATAAATGTTCTAGTTGTTTCCAAATCTACCCAATATTTGATATTGTCTGTCTTTTAAATGTTTGCCAATCTGGGAGGTATAAAATGGAATTTCATTGAGATTTTTATTTCCTTTTCATTTGGGTTATAATATTTTTTTTTTACCACATTGGCAGGTGCAATCCAATGATCAAATGAGACTCAGTTGTACACTCAAAGTTTAGCCATTATCCATGTAACTATTTACAAATTATTGCTACCTTAACTAATTGTCATACCTGTACAAATTCTTTGGTTAGGAGTTAACTGCAAAGAATCAAGATTTGTAATAATAGCCCTGACTGGTTTGGCTCAGTGGATAGAGCATCGGCCTGTGGACTGAAGGGTCTCAGGTTCGATTCTGGTCAAGGGCATGTACCTTGGTTGCGGGCACATCCCCAGTCGGGGGTGTGCAGGAGGCGGCTGATTGATGTTTCTCTCTCATTGATGTTTCTAACTCTCTATCTTTCTCCCTTCCTCTCTGTAAAAAAATCAATAAAATATATATTTTTTAAAATAAGATTTGTAATAATAATTTAGTGTAATGCCTACGTTACAAAGTGGTATAAGGTATAACTAGTCAAACGATGAATAAAGAAAATAATTTTCATGTGCATTGTTCTCCTTTTGTATTTATTTTGGTATATTAAGTGAAGATGTTTTTAAGGGAATTAAGGGGGAAAGTGAGTCATGCCTATCTAGTTCCGACACCATCTCTGCTGCCCTAAAAGGTATACAGTAAAGAAGGAGTGGACCACTGAGAATGGGACAAATTTTGTTCCTGTTACAAACCCCAGCAGATGATGGTGCTTTTCTAAAGTCTTAGAATTTTCATGCTCAGAGATTTACAGTGAAGGATTAATAAAGAAATTGCTTCCCTTAGATGTTCCTCTGTTTGGTCAACATTGGATTGTAAACGTGCTGAAGTTCGGATTGATTAAATTGTTAGGCTCGGTGAGGTCACATCCTGATTGGACCACACCCAAGAAACATGTTCCAGGACAAGTCAAAGTGCCAAGTATAATGCCAGCTGCAAACGGGCAAGAAGTCAGGTGATCTGTAATAGCTGGTGGCAGCCTGTTCTTACAGGCAGAACTGAAATGGAAACTGCCAACCACTTTGAGATCAGCCTGGGCCTGCGTTGGTTTGGAGGCTGGGTGTTGGGTGTTCCTAATGTTGCACTTTGAGCTTCCTTCTGTCAAAGCTAGCACAGAAAATAGACAAGATGATTTCTACTCATGTATTGTTGGGGAATAAATGTACAGCATTTTTGAAATGCAATTTAGCTCAGCCATGAAGAATTTAAACGTATTACTATTTTTTGACCATGTAATTCCAACCTTAGGAATCTGCCCAATCAGAGAGGGAGAGTAGAGGCAGGGCGAAAAGGACTCATACTGGGAGGAAAGAGAGAGAAAGAGAAATGGAGGGAGGGGAGTTTGTGCACACAAGTGTTTGTGTGTGTAAGTGCAGGGATGGTGTGAACAAGTGTGGATGGGCTGCAGGCTCCCAGCTCCCCCTCCTCCTTAGCCCTCCCTACTTACTCCCTTGCCAACTGCCTGCCCCAGCTTCAGGAAGGCACATGGTGGGTGGACAGCATGCTGAGCCCCCTCATATCACAGAGAGCTAGTAGTAACTTCAACACTATAGTTGGGTCCAGCACTTTCTTTCAACATCACAAACTAACTTTTTGCCTATAGTCCATTATAATCTTACTAGGGGCCCAGTGCACGAATTCGTGCACCTTGAAAGGAACTGTGGGCCGTGAGGCTGCATGGGCACAAGGGTGGGTCTTGGCCCATCCTCTGTGCCTCTGCCAGGCCCCTCACGTGGCAGCACCCTGTCCCCTGTCTGCTGGCAGCCCTGCTCCCACTGCCGGCCCTGGTCCCAAGTGCTGACGGCGCTGGCCCTGATCTTACCCACTGACTGCACAGAGCGATTGGGGCCAGCACCAGCAGCAGGTGTGAGCACTGGGCAGGACTGTGGCACGCAGGAGCAAAGAATTTTCAGTAACCACCAGAGGCTCACAGATGACAGTGACCTGTGCCCCGCCTTGGTCTGGCGCCCCTGCTCACCTGCTCCACCATCCCACCGCGACTGCCACCTGCATGTTCCATGCTCTGCTGCCCACTGCCAATGCCCACCATGTTCCGCACGCGACCCCTGGTGGTCAGCGCATGTCATAGCGACCGGTTGTTCAGCCATTCGGTCAATTTGCATAGTAGCCTTTTATTATATAGGATGGGACCACTGTCATATATGTGGTTCCTTGTTGACCTAAACAACTTTATGTGCACAGGACTGTAAAGTACTTTGGGCAGGCAAACAGTGTAATCATTACACAAGGAACCCAAGAAAACAATTCAGAGATAGGATTGAAAGATGCATTAAAGTGCTTTTACAGTGTGCACACACACATCGAAAAACCCTAATGTCCATCAACAGAGTAGTATGATACATTCCGGGCTGTCTGGGCGTGGAACAATGAGCAGCTAATGCAATGCTTTTGAAGACCATTGAAGAACACAGGCATGAAAATGAAGGAAACCTCAGCTAAAACTTGTGTGGAGAGGAGGCTCTCACCCACTACCACTCTTCATCAATTATCCCAAACAGGAAAAGACATACCTGTGTCTCCAAGAGGAAGCTGTATCTACCACCCACGAAGGAGGAAGATTTTCTTCTTGCCCAGCAACAAACCCAGCCAATGGAAAACACTACAACTCAGCCAATAATTCATGGTTACCCTGAACTTGTACTTTCCTCCAATAAACTTTCATTTTTCTTCTGCTAACGACTTTTGTCAACAGAAGGTTGTCATCAACGCCAACAGGAGTTTCCAATTTGGGGTGTGGTGAAGGGAGAGGCTTTATTCAATGAAAACAGCTCAATTGTGAAAGAACTCGGTGACAGCTCAGTCATGAAACAGCATGACTGCGAGCCTGCCTTGGTGTTACAATCCTGGGTTGCATTTCAGCAGGGGAAGGCGTAGTCTTCAGTGGAAACTGGTAGTGCGCTCAATGGAGACAGGGGGAAGCTGGCTTATAAAGAGAAGAGTTCCCACCTCAGTCCGGGATTGGTTCTTCTCATGAAAATGCGGACTCCAAATCATCACAGTTTGATTGGTCCCAAGAGTACTGTCTTGATTGGATGGAATGGAGCCCCTCTAATTGGTTAGTGAAGATTGGATGGGGGAAATCTCAGTTCTATTGGTTGAGTTTGATCCTAGAAGCTCTTTTATAGGGGTTGACTCAGCTGAGAGTCAACCAATGCTTGGCAGTGGGGTGTGTGGTTTTCCCTGAAATGCAGTAGAAACAGTGACTACTAGACTCTGGTTATGAATTTGAGCCCAATTACGATGAGTCCTTTTTGGCAAGTATATTTTTCTCAGGGTCAACACTTCCTTGCCCCACCCTCCTTTCTAAAAAAGTCTTTCATCTTGTGTCACTCCTGTGGGTCTCTCCTTGCTAGATGAGATGTTGCCTGATCCATGAGTTGTTTAATAAAGCCAATTAGTTCTTCAAATTTACTAAGATGAATTTTATTTTATGGCATGACAAATGCTCACAAAATAATATTAAATGACACGCTGGCCTGCACCTGGAAGGGTCCCAGTTTGATTCCCAGTTAAGGGCACATAACTGGGTTGCAAGTTTGATCCCTGCTCCCAGTTGGGGCACGTGTGGGAGGCAACCAATTGATGTGTCTCCCTCACATTGATGTTTCTCTCCTGTCTCCCTGTCTCCCACTCCCCCCTCACTTCCAATCTCTCTGAAATTCAATGGGAAAAATATCCTTACTTCTCCGGTGAAGATTTAAAATAATAATAATATTAAATGAAAAGCAGACTATAAAACCACATGTAAAGTATGATCAAAATTTTCTAAGAAAAAACTGCACTTTAATTTTTTTAATCTGTAAGGGAAAGTTAATGGGTGATTGGTGTGATAAATGGTGGTTTAAATGTTCTTACTTGGTTATAAGCTTTCAAATGTTCTGTAATGAACAGGTGCCATTTTTACAATGAGGAAAAATACTTACTAGTAAGTGTTTGCTAAAGTCTCATTCCTTCATTTTAATGGCCTTGGAGGCTGGCTGGCTTCTTACTTGCCACTGCAACCTCAAAGGGCCACTGGGCACCCCACCTTCTCTCTGCCTGCCTCCTGGCCGCGCTGCCCTCGCTCGGCCCTCTCTCCTCTCCCTGCGCTTCCCTTTCTCCTATTTTGAAATATTTCACTTTTCTGCACTGTCCACGGTTTTTACAACACATTGCTTTTCTTACCAAAAACTGCCCACAGAGCTCACGACCCTGACTCGCGGCTCCAGCGCGCCCCCTGTCGGTCGGCCGGGGCAGTGCAC